CATTGTGTTCGTTTGATATTGGTTATTTCTCTTTCTGTTTCTTTTACTTACTCCGTACTGTGTTTCTTGGGATTTTTCTTCCTAACGTGAGTATACGGTGGACAGGAATTACCAAGATATTGTTTATTATAAATCCATTATATTGAGTTTTTAATAGGTCACTTAAAATAAAGATGATGTATATAATTTAAAGATCTTATTGGTGAAAAGAAATATCAGATTGATAACATTTTGTGTAGTTGATTGAAGTGTTATTTGATGAGCGTTAATAATTACTATGTGGTAACAAGCTATGTCGTACGACATTTTAACTATTGGGTTACATGTTTAATTCTCTCTGTAACCCACCCCAGTTTGGTCAACTGGATCTTATCACTAACCCTTTCACTAAAAGTAGTGTAGCTAAAAACAGTACAAAAACATGTAATCGTTCACTGTATTGGAATAATATATACAATCTTGCTATTATTCATTCCTTTTTAACTCATATTCTTATTATCATTGTTACTTCATTATTTCGACTCTTACTATTTATCGTGTTAAATTCATCTCGTTGGACCGATAGGTTATAGCAAATTGCACTAATCCACAGTCGTGCAAGACCTCTGTGTTGATTATGACTATTCATTTAACGTTCTGGAGAGTATCGTATGTGAATTGTTACTATATATTTATAGTCGTAATTTACGAATAAAGTTACTCCTAGTTTGTTTTCCGATGAGGTAGAATTTTACGAGATGATAAACTGATTTTCTCTTGACACGACGTAGCTGATTGATAGCTGCTCACGTAAACAAATTACTAACCTATGCTCCCGAATAATTTGGAACCAAACACAAGGCTATTAGCTGAAAGAGTGGTTTTTCATGCAATAAACTGACTTGTTTATGTACAAAATATTGACACAAAAAATACCATAAGAAATTGGAGCGAATTACATTGTGAATCACTCACTCTTCAATCGATCAAGACCTGATTGTTAGGTTTTAATATTGGTTATCGTATCGTATTATTTTATTTTAGGAGTACTTACTTCAACCTAGAGAAATAATGTTAAAAGCAGCTATTTGGTTCAGAGCAAATGCAGAGCATCTGGAACTGTCAAGAAGTAAGTAAATATTTTTTTCTTACTTAAGAATTAACACAAATTCCAAACTAAAGATTATTAGTCATCTTGCTAACTAAATAAGGGACATAATATATTCATGTACAACATTGAATATTATCTTTATGCATAGCATAATTTGACATTTTACTGATATAAAAGCATCTGAAAATATAGAAATTAGGATATAATGTATGACTTAAAAAACAAAACTATAGAGTAATTTAAGCAACTGCCTCTTATTCATCACGTCATCTAGATCTGATTTACTTTTTTTTATCATTTCAATATAGGAAACTGGGTTCTTCCTTTATCGATCATTAGGTAACTAAAGCGTAAAGTTTAGCACACACTTTTATGTGTGTATTGAATTGTGTTTTCTTATTCAGCTAAACAAGTTAACCACTTTATTTCAATGTAAATGTGATATGCAACTTCATCGAAGATTTTATTTATAATATTTTAATTGTTACACTTATTAGGGATGATCATTATTATTAACATTAGTGTTAATTGAATCAACATCCAGCATACTGAAAAAACCCATTTCAAATCGATAGTAACAATGTGTTTCACCTGTAATCCTCTGAGAAAAACAACCTGACAACTTTGGTTTTACCAATATTGTTTAACACAAGATTATTTCATATTTAGTTTTTCTGTGTTGTACACTTCTGCACTGATTCATCATATTTAATCTAGATGTAGTAAGATTTACGGTTACAGTTTGATGTAATGTTGTGTATTAGGTGATCTCTTTGTAAAACCCCTTTTATCTTCAATTTGTTTTCTTTTTATAAAATATTCAGAACGGAAATTAGCTAAATTACAAAAGCAACAACAAGAACAACACGAAGATACTAAAGGTGGTTCTAAAAAGGTTTGTTTATTTGTTTTCATGTTAACGAGGCGATTTATTTATTGGTTATACATTTGAACATCCTTATGAATTGTTTTTCGCTGCATACACACATATATACATATGAATGCATTCGATTTACAAAGACTGTTGTATGTATAGAGTATTTGTAGTAATGTTTTGGTTTATTAACTAAATACACACTTTTTTTGTGTGGGCTTGTGATATTGCCTGGTTGCCTTAACCAAATTTGATTGAATAGCCTTCTAATATTTTATGTATTGGTTCAAAGTGCAGTTCTGTAATCACTAATCCATGGCTACTAGTTTCTTGATAATGGTTAGAACGTTTGACTTTCAGAGACTGAGCTTAAGTTCGAACTCTGTTCTACCTACTTCTGTTTAGGCAGTCAGGTAATATCACTAGCCCTCGCACTTAGAGTGTTGCTCATAGAATGTATTCTGGCAAACGAGTAAAATATTGTATCGCATTATGCTATTATGCACTAATATTTTCGATATATTTATTCCTCTCGATTTCTTTACTTTTTGACTTGTCAACTGGGCATTTCTGATTTCATAGTTGATGTTTTGATTTAAATTAATTAGACGTTTGCGTCATGAAAGAGTTTTCAATTTTATGTGATAAATATCAAAAATGTTAGATAATATAAATTAAATTCTGAAAAAAAAAACACGAAGAATACATGCCGTTCATGTCTTAATATACTATACTATATGAATTGTGTAGAATGCTTTTAGTTTCGTCTACATTCTTATCCTATCTGGGCTTTAATTGAAAAGCAGTTATATGTTAGATTGATTAAATTTCTTCATTGTCTTTTATCCTTTTTTCTTTATTTCCAAACAGTAAAGACTTATTTGCTGTCGTCTGAATTTTTAATTTCTCACTGTTCTGGCGTTTTACTTATTCAATGCTAAAATGAATGATATTTGTTTTAATTTTATTTTGCTTTTGATTGCCGAACGCTACTTAATATCTTGTTTATTGTATTTGTTGCATACAGCGTAAGACTATCAATCGTAATAATTATGCATCAACAAAAACAAATCGTAATGCCTTTCCCAGAACAGAAGATGCAAAACCGATATCTCGTAAAATTAATTACGAAGCACTTGAAGCAGTTGTTGGCCTTTCAACAACCTGTCCATCAGTTGATTTGGTCAATAATAGCTGTAAAACTGTGTCGGCGACTGATGTTGACATTGTCACTGAACCAAGACCTGGGCCACTACTTGCATCCACGTTATGTGATAATGATAATTCTAAAGATTTATTCAAATCACCTAAACATATTAGAGATAACAGTAAACACAAGTCACTTGCATCTTCTACGAATTTAAAAACTTTATCCAATGTTAACGATTATGATAAAAGTGCAGTAAAAGCTCAAGATTTGGATGCTAACAACAATAAGCTTGAAGTTGAAGAGATGAACGACAATGAAGTAGAAGGAGAAGAGGAAGATGAACAAAATATTGATGAGAACAACATGTATAATTCATATTTACCTAATTATAGTCATGGAATAGATGATGAGGATGATGATATAGAATGGTCTACTGGTGCTGAATTATGGTGACTAATAGATTTATCACTAAACAGCAATAATATCCCGAGTGTATATAAATGTATAAGTATATGTGTATTTATGTATTTAAATATCCCTTGTTTGTTTGTTTACATTACTTATTTGCATTTGATTTCACATATTGTTCATTGAATTGTAAAATATTATCATATACAATACATAATTTTGTTCTAACTTTAGTATTTAATATCTGAGCGTCTAATAATTCTTTTATACAACTTATTTACTTTTGAAAATAACCAAAAGATGATTTTTCACATCTCTGTCATTATGTTAATTTTATAAATGATTATTCTAAATATTTATTGTTCTACTCAACTATTTTCTATTTATTTTATAGATTATTAAATTATTTGTTTCAACTGTTTGTTCTGATATTTTTAGGGTGTTGACTCATTTGGTTCTTATTTTAATTACCATATCATGTTTAGATAACAGTTATTGTTTTGGAGTATATAACTTGTTCTATTTAACTCCAGTAATGATGATAGATATATTCTGTCCTCCTAATTTTCCACCTTCTTCATTAAATTATAGGTTAAACAAATTACACATATCCATGTGTGTGCGATATCAGTGACCAAACTTTGAAAGAATAAGAATTATACCCATGAAGAGTCATACTACGCTAAGAAACACTTTTTAGCAAAGCTCAGCAAAAATGACTTTCCCCGACGCAGATAATTCGATATAGTTACATTAAAGGTAGTCGCTAGAAAGTATGGTGAGGAGGTTACGATTTATGGTTTTTGATAATCATTACATTCATAAAACGCTTTGAGTAATGAACTGAGTTTCTTTTTTGAAATAAGAAATATTCCTTCGAGCGTTAGAAAAATACATTTCCACGATTGGTCTTATGTTAGAGATTTGAACTATATTCCTTTGATGAAACTTGCATCTTATTTCAAAATCCTGATTATTTTTCCGGTTCATCGTCTAACGATCAGGCGTGGATATATGATTTTAGTGAAGCCTGTTTTCTTTGGTATTAATTATTATTATGCATCATTCCTAATGTTTTAGAATGAAATGGCATTCATAATGTTTATCATTGCTTGGATTTTAGTACGGATTAGTGTATATTGAGAACCTCTTTGTCTGGAAAACACCAATTGCCTTCTTGTGTTGATTTCAATAAGTATTGTAATTCGATGATATAAAAACATGCTATTTTTATCCAGAAATTAATGCTTTTTTGTAAGCAGTCATGTACTTGGTTCTGAGCCAAATAAGTTGGATGAATGCTACTGATAATGCTTGGTTACTCAAGTCAAATTAGGTGGGAAGGTATTCAAATTTTGATAATTGACTACTCTAACTGCCAAATTATCATTCGCTGATACAGTTACTTATCACACAATAATCCTTCATATTCACACAAAATAATTATGAAGTTAAAGATAATAGGTTTTCTGTGATAACGCATCATTGGAATGTTAAACTCTCGTTTCATTTCCGTATTACGTTTATTGTATTTATTTTAGTTCATCTCTCAGCATCACGTATTGTATTTGAAATGCTAACTAAAATGTAGTATATTTTTATATCACTGGAGTGCTTAATATTTTTGAACCTAAATAATATTCAATTTTGTTCTTAAACACAATTTGATCTAATTATGATGTTTGGCTTTCGAAGATCGTCCATCGTACATGTTTCAATTCTGTTATCTGTGACTTATCTACGTATAGTTTCTAATTACGATGGTTCACAACCACAAAAAGGTTTATTTCATTGTCAAGCTTGATTACACTTGGTTAGGATTTCATGACATTAATGTGAGATTTTATCGTAGTATACATTTTATACTGTTAAATATCAAAACATCGTGATTAGCAATAGACTGAATCCTCTCTTTTCATAACTATACATGTTTATGCTTCTTTGTTATATCTTTTCATAAATTCTCATTTTCATTTATATGAAGAATTCTAACTTTGATAATAGAAATTTTTAAATGAATAAGTAGATAAATATGTGTATATGATATTACAGTAATTCAATTTTCACTAGTGTTTATGTTAATGTTTGCCTCCAGTTAATTGGATTGAATTTTAGTTGCTCTCTGTCTTCTTCAATTTCATTTCTTCTTTCGAGTTTTCTAATTCTTTCATTCTCTTCCATAATCTATTGAAAATAAAATAATACTGTTAAGGGTAAGGAGATAAGGAAGGGGAAAATTAGAAAAAGCGAATATGTGGGATTATGTTTTAAAAAGATAAACTCGTAATGTACAAGTTTTATTAAGACATCAGCAAATAATGTTGTTTTGAGTTACATATATATTTATATATATAACAGTATTAGCATAAGTGACAAAAATAATGAAGTCTAAACGACAAAATGAACGAAAGCTTTACAACACAAAGTAGGTCAGTTTTTGTCACTTCTGGTCAATCGTGAACACGAGTTGGAAGCCGTTGGATTTTTATGGTCAGTTTTGCGATTTTTTTACTGATTTCAACCACGCATTATGCACATAACAGAATCTTTCCGAAGTCGAACTTGCAACCATAGCCTTTGTATTCAGACGAAGCTGGTAATAGTTTTACCCTCCGATATTCATGGGCATCTACTTCATCCCAGTGTACGGCTTCACAGCATTAAGCATTCGCGACATCACTGGAGATTGAACACAGGACCTTCACATGCCGTGGCAAGAACTTAACATTTAGACTACTGAGCCAACACTTGGTGGTGTACATGTCTAACTCCACTTGATTAGGGATATTGCACAATCTAATCCTGTTGTTTTCTGTGGGTAGTTGCCTCACATTGTACGATTGAACACCGCTGATCATGGCTTCGTAAAATCCTGGAATTTCCACTTGAAATTAACCACTAGTCAAGATATGATAGTTATCAGTATAGATTGTCTAACTTAGGTCCACTCCTGATCTCAACAATATTTAACAAACTTTATAAGCCCCTATACAAGTATATATGTGTATATTCCCATTAATACATCAAATAATAAGTTGAACAGACAAATGTTTCTTCTTAATTAGTTCCTTGTCTCCGCTCTACATTAATATGTAGATTTTATGAGTAAGAATAAAATCAATACAAAATGAGTGATAATAGATCAATTTAATGATATCCCAATATTGTCTAAAGAGAAAATAATCGCGTATTAACTCAACAGATGCAAAATAGAATTATCACTAGTTTCGTAAAAATTAGGTTTAGAATTGAACGCGTATATTTAAGTATTTAATGTTAGTTATAAAACCGCTAATATGTAATTAATAAGACGGAAGGTAAAAAAATTGTTTAATCAGATAATCAAGACTGACCACGTAGGAACGGAACAATAAGTAAATCTTGTATCAAAACGTGAAAATGACAAAGTGGCCAGGGTAAATTAATACTTGAAATAAATTTTTTCTGTACACAGTAATCAGGTTTGTCAATGTATATACACATGGCTTCTATTGTATGTAAAAGACGAATTCTACGAGGATATGAGAATTTCGACGGGACAGATAGTTTTGGGAGATAAATTTATATGGATTTGTTGACCAAAGTTGACTAAATGCCAGAACAGTGCCTATTGTTTTCTTTTATTCCGTAGTAAACCAAGAGGATTATTCTTCGGGAATACGATGATTTATTTACCTGATCGTACATTCAACGTAATTAACTCCATTGGTCTTAATTTTGTGTTAACATCAAGTATTAAAAAGGTGGAAATACAAGTTCGAAACGTATGCGCACAAACATGAGGTCTAATACCTTTGAAATAGGAGAATATAGGAATACTTAAGACTATCCTGGTAAGTTGTTACTATTAATGCAGAAATTGCAAATATAACAGAGATGTTATTGAGGCCAAAAGATAGAAAATCTCCACTTCAACTAAAGGAAAATGAAAACCAAGTAATCAGGAAACTCAAGGAGAGGTCAAGATAAGTTTATATAGAATAGTTGAATATATTACTCGGCGACTATCCCAAAATTCATAAATTATCGAAAAATAACCTAACTTGAGATACTAAGTAACAACTGGTGCCTTAAATAGCTTGGAAAACACGTTCACTTTCATGGAACTTATACTTAAGACTCAGGCTTATTGGGTCCATTACTTGCCAGCTATCGAGTATGCCAAACGTATGTAAAATTGATTTACCACTTACCAGTGATCCAAGATAATAATAAGTTCATGTTATGCTGAGAATTAAAAATGGGTAGTAGAAATTCTAAGACCACCACACAAAGAGGTAGATCACTGTGTAAAAGATAGTTTCGAATTTATAGATAGGATTAAAAATCTAAAGGGGAAATCGTCATTACAATGTATGATCTCTATTCACGAAAGTGCTTCTTATAGAAACATTTAGTTTCATATAAAGTAAGCTGCGAAGTCGATTCGGAGCCCTGCTTCTTTTTTAAGCGAAATGATTTTTAAATGTAAGATGAATGGATTTTTGTTCGACAAGCTGCTCTCTAGAATGTGGGCATGTCGCTATGTTATATATATATATATATAATTTATATTACGAGGTGTCAAATTTTAGGAATTTAACTGTTTGTTTCTAATGCGATAAATTAAGAGTAACGTACTCTCCTATTACAATAGAAGTTCTGTAATTTAACCTTTAAACTGCCGTGGAAGTGGACATGAGAAAAGTTTCAGATAAACGTGAAACCGCTGTAGAACATTAGTGTTTTACTCTAATCCTACCATTGATATAATTTCATAAACCGGTTTCCATATTATATACTTTCCTGAAAAACTAAAAATCTAATTAAACATGAGTAGATGCTGACAATTTCGTTAAAGTTCGAAAAAAATAAAACAATACTAATACTTATCAATTAGACTTACCTTTTTATTCATATCTCTGAATGTGAGTAGAAAGGCACGCTTCTGTTGTTCACTTATCATCTTATTATGAAAGTATTTTTGACAATCATTTTCTATTTGTTTACCTTCTGTTTGGTTAACAAATATAATATTGCGTTCATTCAATGATAATCTGTTTACCTGCTGATTTGTTTAACCATTCTTCTTTTTTTCGTTTAATCTTATCCATCATTTGTTGTTTTAATCCTTCACGTATATATTTCCTATTTATAATATTTCATCGATTTGAAAATTAGTAATTCAAGTGGCATGTATTATTATTATTAAATCTCGTTGCTTACGGAAATATGATGGGTGGGAATATAAAAAAGTTTGATTACTAGAGTTTCCAAATGTATAACCTCGGAAATAACTAGTTAAATCTTAAAATAACCGGTATACATAATGTTGATTTTATCTAGGTTATCGGTTTATTCATCTTATTAAGTTGTTTGAACAAGAAAAATTCCCCCACAGTTAGTTATCAGCTAACAATAGAGTTTTCCTTGTGTCCTCCTTAACTGGACAGCACCTTATGAAAAGTTAAATGAGCGATCTCCAAAAATCATACATAGATGTTAATGGATCTTCAAGTAACAGAGTACTTTAGGTGGCAAATAATAGCTTCTCATGAATACAGTACCCAACATATATTCACATGAATATATTTGTATTTTCAGTCGAAAGTTTAAAATAAATTAAATTTCTAGTCTTCCTGATTTTTAGATATAATTTTTCGTTTTGTTGTCACTGTTTTGTATTAATTTATGGTTAATTTATTTTTACTTGGTATCATTCACATATCTAAATGATTTTCAAAAACATAATGTTATAATGAATCCGAAGTCATCAACTAGTAATACACCTTCACTCAAGATTAATTTTATTTTAATCGTAGTAAGAAAATTAAGTCACTGTATTGTAAAAGTAACACAGAATTCTGGTAGTAAAGATAAAGATATTTCCGTATATTGGTTCAAACTCATTAATTATTGAACATTGGAAACCACAGTGGTCAATTATGGTAAATATTGTGTTGTGCGGTTGTTTGACTTTTATACACTTATACATACGCTTTCCGTTCGCACTCCTAAATTGGTAATTTAGTGAAAATCTTAAGAGATAGTTGGAATCGGTATTGGCTAATGGAATCAAAATATTTGCCCAAATGTACTTACTAATAATGATGTGTCCTTCAGGAAAGCAGGCCCTATTTTCAGGAGATAGTGTGTACTCGTTGTCATCACTCACCTACCATTCAACCTTGATCGGCCCAGCCTAAAAAACTTCCTTTCACGAAAAGTGAATCTAGATTTTTGCATTCAGCTGTAGGAATTGAGATTAAAGTACATCAATAAGCGATGCACTAATTCGGTTAACTGATTACGTACAGTTAATAAATAAGATGATAAGGTAATATAATTAAATAAGACAGCAGAAAAATCTGTTGAGGATGGTAACCCTCGAACTGTGCTAAATGAAGTAGAAGTCGTGTATTAGATATGTGGTAGTAAGACTAATCTATTGTGCCAATGCATTACATGTAGTCTTCATTCTTTGACAAAACCTCATTTAGATGAATGATTACAGTCAGTGATATTATATAAAATACTTAGTTCAAAATAAATGTCTTTCTATTATTTATACCTTGTGTGAAATGGAAACAATGGATTTACTAACTTCCAACCTCTTACATAAATGTTCTGCTTTGACTATTTATTCAGCTTAATATAAACAAGTGTAAACGTTTGGAGCAATACGACGTTGATCCATATCTATCAATGATTCTAATTTTTAAATTGTCTAAATGGTAATATCTTATATTACAAAGCGTTCAGGTTATAAATAGGAGTTAACCATTATTCCGCTATGTATATATCCTCATTTTATAATGAAATATATTTGGAATACAAGGCAAAACTTAAACATAATCATTTGTACATAATGAACTTTCACTTGTCAGAAATTATATTCTTAGCATAAAGGTATGCAGATTTTTAGCCACTTTATACCACATTAGAGCTCTCACTAAATGAACGTCTACAAGTGGTATGAGAAATATTTTAGGATTTATCCGTTTTATTACCTACTTTCGATTGGCAAAAATCTAATGACATCGTGAATTATAGATTACCCATATATGGTTAACGTGGACAGAGGATTTATGGAGATTCGGTCTGTTGTAATGCAGAAGTAATTCAGGACTGGTATCACATGACGAACAACTAAAATTCATAGTGCTTTGAACAGCGGTGTGAACGTACAACAGTACATATGTTCCGACTCAACGTAACCAGAACCCTATGCTGTCACGATAATATTAAGCCAATACGGTACAGTTCAGTGGTTCACATTTTTAACTTTATGATATTCTGTGATGATTGTCAAATTTTGTCAGGGATGGATTTTGTACTTCCTGTATTCTTGAACTCTACCATTTAAGTCTTTTCACAAGAACTTCAGAAGTCTAGCTCAAAGCTAGTCATTTGAAAGCTTATGATTATTATAAAGATATAGGACTACTTGAAATTACTGAATTGACCTGTCTTCTTGTTCTCACATAATGCGACCTTGAAAATTTGGTGATATTTATGAAGTCAACTGATTATAGTTGGATGAAACACTCGATTTACGCTTTAAGTGATAATAACTAGCCAATCCCTTACATAAAAGCGGTTTTTTGTTTAGCAATTATTGAAATTAAATAGATGATATCCAGGAGTTTGCTCAAGTTAATTTTCATATTGCTTCTGAGTTTACTTTCAAAATCGTCCTCAAAAGAATTCATAAGGTTATTACAAATTCTACTAAATGCATTTGTAAGCTCTGTATGTCAAGTGGACAGTTTGAAATATCATATCTGACGGAGGTGGTTAGTTTTACTTAGAATAATTTCACTTTTATGATAACTAGCTACTTCAAAAAGAAAACAATAAGGTTTCCCAGTAGATCACATTTGATAACGTTTTGCTCGCCATTAAAGGATTACATACATTTATAAATTTATGATTAAAGATTTTAGACTAATTTACTGATCTCCTTTCTCGTTTTTCTTTCAAACTGAATTTCCGTTTTTCCTTTGATTATAAATAACTAAACTTGATAACATCTTATCCCAGTGATTATTAGTTTTAGAGTTTAAGAATAATAAGTTTCCAATATTATGCATAATCACTTTTATTAGTAACAATCACAATGATATACTTTAATACAGAATAGTTTTCTGACTCTTGAAATCTAAATAGTTTCAGATTTTATCAGAGTAATGTACCTTAATTTACTGTTAATTTAACTAACTAGGAAAGGTCTATATAATCGACAGTAACTAAATTTATGTTCTTATCCTTACTTTTTTAAAGAATTTATTACTGCTAGTATAAACAATATATCCACATGATAGTACTACAAAAGTTTATTTTTGCTCATCAGAAGACTTGATTATAAAAAGAGTCATAGCGATTTTAGTTTCGAAGCGCGAACTTTATTGATAATCATTAGTGTCAACCTTTTGTTCGATATAATTATATGAGTTAAATACATATACTTTAAGAATGCACAGTAATTGATTTCTCTGTGCTTCTATTCTTGTCTTTGAAATAGATTTTTAAATAGTTTATCCGTGAATAGCATAAATGTTTCGTTCTCTGTGTACAGATTGGTAACCACTATAAAATGATTATATAGATTTTAAGTTTGTGAAATTCATTAGATCACTGATAATAAAGCCAAATAACAAAAAGTGACTTTAAAAATGCTAGTTTTCCTAAACTTTCAAGAAATTCTAATCAACATCATGCATTTTTCAGAAAAATGATTTTCTAGTACTGACGGTTCTTATTTGAAGTTCTTTTATAGTGTCCTAATAATAGGGACTGATAGATTCCCCTCTTTATAAAGTAGTTTGATGTGGTCAACAAATCTGTCTGAGTTTATTCTCTACAATGCAATAAACAAAGTTAGAAACCGTTTTCTTTTTTTGCCCATCTACTTATTCATTACATTATTATGAGTACATCAATTTACTATGTATTTAATAGAAGAGTAGTTTAATCCCGCGTAATAATAATAATAATGACAAAACTGGTAGCACCATATTGACTGGACATTAGGGTTGAAATGGTTTGACAGATTTGTCTATTTTAACATAAGATTAATGTTATTTTGAAGCGTTCCGTTTACAATTAGACTGAATTGTTTAATACAAAACTTTAAATTGGTTAATTTGAAAATAACTATAAGTAGTAACTTACCGATAATCTTCTTTCTCTTTCATATTTCCATAAAAATAATTAGAATAATAATGATGATATCTATCATATTCATTTCTTAACATATGATTAGCTCTTTCATGAATATAATTACTAGCATCAGTTGTTTCAGCTAGCATATTTTTAGCATGTTTCGAATAAAAATAAGGATTAATTCTAGGTGGTGGATTTGGTTCATATTTTACCGGCGGTGGATAAACAAGATATATACTACGAGTACGTAATGTTGGTTGAATAGGTGTTGTAATTCTATGCTGATTACTAATTGGATTTGAAGTAGTTGACTTTTCTTTTATTATTACATTTCCATTCATTGCTTATTAATATGTAAAATAGTTATATTAACATTATTATATTTTGATTTAAGTGAATAAAGTACATTTGTACGTATTCTTCTTTTTATATTATTTCTTAAACCTTATTACTTAAGGAAGATGGTTACCAACCAATCAATTGACTTTTAAAGATTTTGGTTTTTCTTTGAAAAAGAAACGTTTTATGAACAAATAAATTAAGGTCACCGATTAAATTTACTTGTTTTTGTATTAATACTTAAAAGAATATCAGATTGCAACTAACAAATTGGTTGATATTTTAGCAAACGAGTCAATCCGTTTGTTAATATTAATTAAAATGATAAATATCATTATTATAGTGCAGTGTTTTAAGTAGTTTAAAAAAATCAGCAGGTATTTGTTATAGTAACTATAGTCTAATGTTTTTTCTCTGACTTTGTTGTTAAACGGTAGGAGTTATTTGTTTAAAGTAGAAGGCAATAAAAAACAAGTAATTTTTAATTAAGAAACGAAAGTTTGAAAATGGATGCTCACTACTGAGGAGTCTCATACTAGGACGAAACGGTTGACCAGTGCTTCCAGGTTTTTCATGGTGGTCTAGCTTCAATTGACTTATATATGAATGTGTTCTTTGATCAACAAACTTTAAAACATAACGGAAACTAAACAATAAAAATCTCTGTTTAGTAATACCAAATGTGATAATGTTAAAAAAATGAAGTTATTAGTAATATTTTGCTTGTAAGACTCGTAATACATAAATTTTCGAATTTATATTTTCATATTACCACCAAGAGTTAATAGTCTCAAGTCTAATGAACTAAAATTAAGAATTTTGGTCATACAGCTTACTAGTAATGAAATACGTTGATTTATACTGTCCTTTTTGATCATTTGAGAGGTGGAGAAGAACAGTTCATAATTTTATTTGTAGTAATTTGACTATGACTTGAATAGCTTAGTGATGTTTTAGATTGGGGAACTATCTACCAGAGAATGTCATTTCTCTGCAGATTATAGAAAGGGTTTGATAGCGTGTGCTAACTGATATGATGGAATTAGGAAGCAAAATTACATTCTTTTACTCATTGTGATTTTTGTTCATTATTACTTCCACTTTTTTAATTCAATGTGATAATTACTCAGTGTAGTATTTGTTTTGTTTTCCAGTAGTAATTTTTTTACTCGGTAAGGCATTAATTTATTTGAGTGCAATATTTGTTAAAGATACGATATTCTTTATTAATTAAACATGAACTATGTTCTGCATGACATGCGGTGTGATTTGTTATAACTCTAAGTATTTTTCGCATACGTAATTTCGTCCTAATTAATTATCAAAATAGGTGTACAATCAATATGTAAATGAGTGTATTTTCGACTAGGATCGTGTTTTGGGTTTAGCACATCTTCACTTGTATTAGTCTTGATGTTCTTACTTCGCGTCGCGGGAATTTCAGTGGTTCCTCGTTTTAGAAGTATAAGTAGTAAGGGTTCCGACATAACGATTAGCGATGACCGCTCATAACACCAACAAGCACGAAATCTGGTTTTGAAGTTTTATGGCGACTAGCTTTAACTGCATGACATTGAAAGTTGTATTTAAAAAGTCACCTGTTCGTCTGTTATTTACAATTATATTAAATTATTTTCTGGAATGAGTACTTGGCAGTTTACCAAATATAAATATAATATTGAATTTTATTTCTTTTTTACATAAAATTATGTATTCAATTATTTTCGTGGTCGATTCAGAAATCTTCAAGATTTTGACATTTTACAATATTAGGCTTGAACTTAACACACACATAACACCCTAAATAATTTAGATTTTATCAGTGTAGGGTTATGGAGATTGCTGAGTTTTGATGAGAACCATGAATCGATGGATATTGGAACGCCATTGAAAACCTGGAATCATAGAACGACCATATTGTCACAATATGGAACTCTTCAGTGATGCGCATAAACGATCCCCCACTCGGTATTTGACTCCAGGACCTTCGGTCTCGCTAGCGGACGCTCAACCTCTAAACTACTGAGCCGGTGCAAGACCGGAGGTTCCGAGTTCGAAGCCCGAGTGCAGATCATGTATGCGGACCCCTGAAAAATTCAATACTAAAACGAAACGACTGTCCAGTACTTTCAGGTTTTCAATGGTAGTCTAACATTTAGCGATTCACGATCTTAATCAAAATTTAGATTTCCTTCACCAATCATGTGTATTATGAAAGAGTACAAGTGTTCGTATTTAGATTCTTTGAAATAACGTCAAAATAATCTACACACTAATATTTTATGTTTATTTATGACCTTTAATTTACGATTAATTAATGATATAGTTTATATATTTATTGACAATACCCAGTTGGGACATAGTGATGCACTTTATTATACTCAAGTATGCTGATGGCATTTTTAAGTCATCAACACACTGAGCAAAAAATAGTACGTATTTGTTTGTTTTCGTATTTTGAACTGGTACGCAATGAGCAAATAAAAAAGCATATGTGAAAGAACAATAGTGAATTCAACTTCAATTTATTTACCAATAAAAACCAACAGCTATAACATTAACAAACAGTAAAATATTAAATTTGTTTATTTTCAATAAGAACGATTTCATTTCCTTCAATCTCTTCTTTTCGTGACTCATCTTCAAAATTTCTATCATTAAAATATCGAAAAATCCAATGGTCTTCTGAATATTTAATACATTCCTGTAGTTGATGAATTCTATTGAGTAAATGAGTTAGTACAGTGGTAAAAACCAATTATTAGTTGAGATTACCTTTCATTCAAAGAATTTTCACGTTCAACTTTTATCAAATCTTCAATCTTTTGTTTATTTGAAATTAGTGAGTATAAATCTTTTTGTGCCCTGCACAATAATAAATGGGGAAACCGTAAAAATGATGAGTTTTTTATTACATTAAACTAGACCATACATTTTAAAATTGCTTAAATACTTGTATTAATAATGTCTACCGCTTACCCAAATTAGCAACAGGTTAGTTATAAGAGAAATATGGGGAGCAAAATGATAAATTTGTTATCAATTTTCGAAAAAATCAGAGTGGTCATATATAGAAATAACAGACCAGTCTTTTCAGTGTAATGACAGTGTAAATATAATATACTGTATGCTATTTATGATGAAGATTAAAGCAGAGTTATCTACATACAGTTCAGACAGTAATCTGAGCTAACATTTATCTTATTGATGGCTATGTACAGAATAGTTTTATTTAGTGTTTGAATCGCACAGAATCGATAAAAGGTTGTGTCTTAAGTTCTAAGCAAAACAACTCAAAATATCTAATCCCTCTTATTTGTATTCTTTCCGAATCCTAATGTAATGATATGTAATTTATTGGTTTGTCTGAAGTAATCCTTCAATTAAATCATGTTTCTACCAATGGATTAAATAACAGGAATTCTTGTGTTTTTCAAACTACCTAAACAAATCTAGAATTACATTTATATGGTTCTTTGATTAATGTTTTATAACCCTTAATGAAGTATGCACTCAATGGTTGTAAAACGAATATGAAATCATTTATGAAGACGTTTAAGAGTCGATAAAGTACCCAAACATAAACTAGTTTGCTAGCGAATGAATATATTTATGTAGAGCAATTGACTTGCTTTAAAGTAATAACAACCGATTTATATCTTGAAAATCTCAAAAGTTGGGCCCAACTGATTCTTGATTTCGGTGATTTATTTACTAACTGATTAACAACATGCATAAAATTTTCACAGCAATTTATAGCGTTGCTCGCGTTAGAATATATTATTTAGTGTAACCATATTAACTCAATATCATATTACCTGAGATAAGTAACCGAGTTAAAACAAATAATTTTGTTCCTGTTTTAATGAAATTTTGGTAATGTTGTTATTGATTTACATAATTTTATTAAAGCTAAGCAGTATAAGTAATCGAAAAGAGTCAACAAAAGCAAAAAGTGGCATAGTTTAATTAGCATGCAAAATATCCGTTATAAAAATTACAGTTTGTACCTTGGTATGTTGAAAATACTATGAGACTAAAATCACTTGATACTCACTATGTTGTTCGTTAATCGGAGTCCAATATTTACGATATACTATCATTAAATAACTTTTCTTCGTATAATATCAATTTATAAATCCTACATGAATATTCATTGACCCATGGTTCAAATTATATATATATATACATATATACGTACTTTTGTTCTCTTTGTCGTCTGATAGCTTGTTTTTTTATTAACAATTTTTTCTTAACTACAAGAAAATAAATTATTATTTATAAAATAATTAAATTATTTTTCACTAACTTTGTATGTCTTGAATTTCTTTATTAACTTTTCTCAATTCTTCTGTTGCTAAGTAATCAAAAGTTTATTAATGTTTATTTTTCTTATATTACCTGATTCAATTTGACTTTTTAATAAGTTACATTCAGTTTTCGTTGATGATAATATATTTTTTAATTTTTCTTTTTCTAAAATATATAACAAAATTTTTTGTAACGGTTCACTATTAATCTATTGTATTATTACCTTCTAATGTTTCATTAAGATTTTTTTGAAACTTCTGGGTATTTCTGTTATCATTCTCCGTTGAATTCATTGTGAATCTGTTTTTTTTCTTGACAAGAAAATTTCTTGGTGATTTTATTTTTTGTATTGCTGTTAATAATCTATTCTAAACAAAACTACATAAAAAAAGTTACATTTCATCTTAAACTTATTTAACATTTAATACATTTTTAAAAATACTATCTTATAGAGCTATGGATATTGCTTCATAAAAGTTAAATACTGCGGATTTAATGCATTTTAAACTTGCTATTTCCTTCCAGATAAGACGCAAGAGTGCTGTACATAAATATTCGACTGGTGAACTAGTTTTTAAAAATGTCTAAATTTATATAAGTTTGTTATTATATTTAACATTGTTGGATTTGTGGCATTGTTATTTTGGCAATATAATGCCGTATACAGTTGTAAATCAAAATTGTATTCTGTAATAAAATTGTTTGGGGATGTTATGGTTATATCTCTGTACAAAATTCATATTTCTTTATCGTAATAATGTATCCTTCAACTGAAATCAGGTTACTCCAAGTTGGCTGTTTTCCCTCGTAATATTTACTATAACTAATCTATTTAGTTTTACATGTCGGTATATAGGTATAAATTTGAGAAGTATCAGTGATTTTTCTAGTAGTACCTCAGGAAAAAATCAACACAAGTCTCTTAAGTTTAATGAATATATAAATTAATGAATTTGGATTCAAATGACTGATATTACCGATTGTTAACAGTTACTTAAAATATCCATCTATCTAATAAAATATTTCAAATATGAATATAGCTTCGGCTAACTAAAGAAGCATGGAGGCTGACCCTTGATAGATGGTGCTGAAAGATTTCAGTCTATCAACTTGACTCTCTGTGCTACAGAGTTCTACAACAGCGCTGCTAAAAGCCTTTCTCGGATTTGCCGTAGCTATAGTCGTCTAACGGAAGCAGTTGCAAGTCTTTCCTCACAACAGTCTCTTCATCGTCAAGTTTTTTACATCACGTTTGCAATTTAGATCTCTCCCATAATAATTTCATTGTTTTTTTCGCATTCATAACACCATTTTTTAACTGACTGATGTCAACTTATGTTATTCTTAGTTGTTAATTTGTTTCCGACTGCTTCATTATATAATCAACTATTTATTTTCTTCGGGATCTCTTTTTGCTATCTGACGGTCCGGAATCTTTTCTCACATATATTTATTTACAGAGCTCTTTTCATTTCTACACTATCATTTCTCCAAAATGATGATACCTACCCATTTTTGCTGTTATAAGTGTGTAAACTTTACAATAATTTTGATTTTTAGTAATTAAAGATTAAAAACAATTGATGAGAACCTTACGGAACAAAATGAGTTCATTTTATTCTTGCTCTATTTAACACTGTACTGAACTGGTTAGGGACTAACCAACAGGAAATTATAATATTTATCGTTTGAAACGTCATGACTAAATATGACTGTAGTAAAATATCTTCCCTATATTTTATTATGTATCTATTCATGTACATCACAAAGCAAAAAGTCGAAAATTATTTCAAAAACTCAACGATAAGGTATAAATCTTTTTTTCATCTCATTATCTTGGTAAAAATAAAACTGAGATAATCAACAATCCGTTTTTATGTTACTTTCTATGCCTATTTTTAATGTTAATACAATTTCGCTGATTAAGTCTTTGTTTTTAATAATAAAAACTCATAATTTTGGGTATTTCTATTTGTCACATGCACTTACGCAAGCACAAAAGCATTCTCCGAACAACTGTACAATAAATAAAAGGTAGTGTCGTATCACAAATGCGTTTCTACCGAATCCCAAAACTATACATTGAAAGTCTCATTACTATGACAGAATAAAAAAGACAAATTTCTGCGTCTTGATTAATCAAATTTTCTTAGAAATTAAGCAGCTGAGTATGAAAAACAAACAAGTTAGACAGAAAAAGTATAACTCTGCACATCACTTAACTTTTTATACGTTTTGAATGAGCTTATATGATTTTAGGACTGTTCATAAACAATCAGTAGAAAAAGAGCAGGAATTCGAACTGTTCGAAACTCAAAATTTTGTGTTTAGTTCGCGCAATAACGAGTTTGGTTTTTGACATTTTAAAAACTAAGTCCTCTTCGTTTTCGTGAGCAAAAGTAACTGACGAGTATAGTAACGGACTGTACACGTATGATAACTGAGATGTGATGGAAATCAACATAACGTATCTCCTTTTTTAAAGGGATTCATGCATATAAAACAAAGGAATGATGAACGACAACAAATCGTATTAAGTTAATGTTCCGAGTCCTGAATTATCTGTTAACTATTACCTAGGAATACTACTAAGAAGTCGTTTGAACAACCATAGCCGACAGCGAATTCAAGGATGTGCGGTCGAAACAAAGAGTGAATAATGAAACTAAAGAATGTGGTTGAAGCAGCTTAAAATAGCTATGCCTTTGTGTGTCGATTACACATTCAAATTGTCAACTCAATCTTCGTCAAAAATGATTACAAGTATTTAAATTGTGTTTTCAAGCTCACTGAACTACTTACAACTCGACTAGTGTTGTGAAGGGCTAACTTCACATAACTTTGATCAAATTGATCAAAATTTCACCTTATTACTACTTCACCAGTATGAAAGTACTTATAAAAATATGTAAAGCTTTGTATTTTTATCTTCGGAACTCAGATCACGATAAAGTATGCAAACGTTTTCGATTATAGAAACACAATCTGATGAATCACCTGTTTTTTTGTTAGGAGATTAGTTACAATGTGATGCACTGGACGAGTATTGTCAAAGCGAAAACAACTAACAGATGTTACTTTAGCGCCATAACAACTTGTTAAACAAAAACACATTCTTTATATGGTACCTGACTTTAATCAACTTTCAAATAATGTGTCTCAATCACATATTAATTCTAATAGTAAAAATGACTGATAACGCATTCGAGGGTTCTAGGTTCTTTCAATCACCTAGGTGGGACATTTCTCTCAGTTAAATATGCTGTCTCTGTAACGACAGATATAAGTATTACGTGTCATAAATTAAAAATAGGATTCTTATCGAAAAAAAGGAAAGTGGGCAGAAGAGAAAGAAATACAGATATCAGTCAGAATAACAATAGGGATTGAAGAACAACTTAGTATGTAAGAGATAATTCAAATAACATATGAATATAATGTATCTGACTTGTTGTTTTTATATTTTGCACATTCAGTTTGTGCAAAATTCAATTAACTGGTTGACCGTACAGGAGTCTTTGTTTATAATACGGTGATCATAATGCACACTATGGTATATACACACTAATCTACCTACTTCTACAATGGAATATATTTTCACTCCTATCAAGTAAATTTTACTTCACTTGCCTTTTGGATATATTTTGAAGGATTATTATCAGCATCATTTGACCTAGAGTCAGCCGAACGTGTTTTAAAGTAAAATTATGGTTATCGGAATTCAATATCGTAACTACCTGGTTAGTTGTTTATCTGCTTTTATGGTACTTTACTCTATTTTCACTGCTACTTATACAGCCAAATTAAAAACCTTAGGTTCGCAAATACTCTTCGTTCTGCTGTACACTATGTATATTTAAAATCTTACATAGGTTCAGATTTTAGAGAAAACGTTTCAAATACCCATATAGTAAACTCCTTCGGTTCTATGCCTGCATTAAACAATGTATTTGTTTCCTCCATTTCAGTTCTCGTTCACACCAAGATGAATTCAAATTTGTCCGTTTGTCCACTTGGCTTCTCACTCTACTTCAGAATCCATTCTATTTGCAACTTTCTAAAACCGTCTCATTAAGTTGCAGTTCGCGTCTGAGGTCCTAGATTTATTTAATCGTGACACAGTTGCTAAACATTCGATTGCCCGTATTATTTCTCTCAATAATGAGAATCCGTTCTGGTTTGCTACGCATCATGGCTCACTGTGTTTATTCCTTATATTTGTTCATCTAGAGACTATTTAGCTACAGTTTAGATAACAGAAGATATTGTGGGTGTTATCTAATAGTTCGCCACACATTTGTCTTTTCAGAGCAATAAGGCATCATTGTACTTTTATGTCGGAATTCCCTGGTGCCCCTATGGCCCCCATATTTTTCATCATCAAGTTTGCATTATACGGCCATGGAGCTTTCGCTCATACTTGAAAAGCCAAGCTGAAGTTTGTCATGTCCACAGCCAAGCGCTTTTCACTGTGTAAGTTGTATCAATTGTAAATTTATTAGGCAGGTGCATTGCATGAATAATTAGCGGCACCAGAATCTTAGTAACCGAATACTACTTTTGACCAGACGTACGCTGTCGAGTGTCACAACTTGAATGTGCTACCGTTTTCAAATTATTATAACTGTAAATTAACATTATTGCATTAACCTATAAAACTTAGCAATGCTAATAAGGCCCATCTGATAGGAATATCTGAAACCTGGATATCTTCTCAGTTCTCGGACAATGAGATAGCATTACCTGGGATGTCTTTGTTCCGCAATGACAGAAAATCAGGATATGTGGGCGGAGTAGCTGTTTACATACGTTCTTACTTGGAGGTGCTCCAGGTTCATAACCTCGAGTTTAACAATCTCGAGGAATCAATGTGGTGCTCTGTAAGATTGTCTAGTACTTCGAGGTGTCTAGTCGGAGTCATTTACAGGAAGCCAGCTGTGGAAATCGAGTATGATGGTCGTATGCTGGAAGGACTATCCAGCTCTACTCGTCTCGGTTTCACACACATCCTGATTCTCGGGGACTTTAATCCCCCTAGAGTCAACTTCGCGGAACACACGTACGCTGGAGGCGACAACTCAATTGAAGCCCGGTTCTTCAACCTCATCGATGACTTGGGCTTATATGAAAATGTGAGGTCGGCAACTCGTTGGAGAAACAGTCAGACACCATCGCACTTAGACTGTGTATTCACAAACAAAGAATTTCTAGTTGACAGCCTCTCAATCCTGGCTCCTCTGGGAAAAAGCGATCATGCCATCATAGCCTTCAGTTTTGTCAGTAAAACTAAGCTAAGATACCCCACCAATAACTTGCGTTGAAATTTTAAACGGTTGAATGTGTCAGCTCTACACGACTATCTACAAGAAGTAGATTGGGATGTTCACCCTCAACTCGATGTGGGCGGTCATTGAGACTTCTTAGTGCACACGCTCTTACGTGCTACTGTAGTGGCATTGGACCATAAACACACAATCCGCAAAGCTGAATATGAGACAAATCAGAAAATAGATATTCAATATTTAACACGGAGAAATACCTAACGATGGAGAAGGCGCGAACAATGAATTGAATGGAATTAGAGTTGATCGAACGGCATGGCTCGGCCATGCAGGCGTGGTCCCTGCTGAATGTTATCTTATTTCTTCTATTCATATTAAATATATTGTTCTTTCTCTAGCCTAACCTTGTTCTACATCATGTATTGGTAATTGGTACGATACAGTGAGTTGGCGTAGTCGATGGTGTGACTTCCACGTAAGATCTTATAGATTAGGCAGTTATATCATGACAAATCTACAAATTTAGGATTAGGTCTATTATTAGAGCAGCACTAATATCATAGTAGACCATAATTCTACACTACAAACCATTCAGTTCCTCAAACGGTTCCCAGAAGCTGCAAGCCACTCACAATAATCAAGAAACGTACCCTTCGCCTACTAAGCTGCAAAAGACACTGTTGGGCGGAATACAAACGAACTGACAACGACGGAGCGTACAGGCAATATAAGCATATCAGGAACATATGCACGAAGGCTATAAGAGAAGATAGGCTTCAGTACCAGGCAAAGCTTATGGACAAAGTTGCCTCTAATCCTAAAAGCTTATTCCGTTATGTAGCTTCTCTTCGTCAAACAAAAACTAGAGTTTCCCAACTGGTAGGTCTTAAAGGCCCGATCAACAACTATGGCGACGCCGCTAACGTTCTGGCTGAACATTACTCCCAGACATTTCAACCGACCGACATCAACTTTACTGACGACAGTTTCATCTGCAATTCCACAGGACTTTCCGAAGTGGACCTCAGCTCTGACTTGGTGTTCCGGAAATTGCAGCACTTAAGACTTGACACTTCTCCTGGCCCGGATATGGTTCATACTGCCATACTGAGGGAGGCAGCCTCAATCCTGGCAATGCCGCTTAGCATGATGTTTTCACACTCGCTAAGCCGAGACAAAATACCGGAAAACTGGAAGTTGGCTCACATCACACCAATTTTCAAAAGAGGTCGACGCAGCGAAACTTCAAGTTATCGGCCGGTGGCTCTTCTGTCCTTACCTTCAAAACTCATGGAGTCTCTGATATGCGACGGTTTAAACGACTATCTACTGTCCTTAAATTTCTTCTCACCCCAACAGCATGGTTTCAGGAAGCGTTACTCTTGTATAACCAACCTGCTGACTGCGGTGGACAGATGGACAAGCATCCTCGATCGCAAGGGAAAGATTGATATCATTTACCTTGATTTCTGAAAAGGTTTTGATAGGGTTAACGACTTGTGACTTATCGGTAAGCTCAAACGACTAGGTATCAAACCACCTCTGATCGACTGGCTTACTTCATGCCTAAAAAATCTACGCTTTAAGGTTGGGGTTAATTTCACATTATCTCAGGATATGGAATGTCCTAGTGGGGTCCCCCAGGGCTCAGTACTAGGGCCTCTTCTCTTCTTGTTCTACGTAAATGATCTTCTTCAACAGGTAACGTCAGACTTATTACTTTTTGCCGACGACGTGAAACTTTGGAGAGAGATACTCAACCAAGACGATATACAGGCACGTCAAGAGGATCTGACTCGACACCAAAGTTGGGCAGACGATAACGGACTTACCTTTAACACTTCAAAGTGTAAAGTAGTCCATCTATGACGTGCCGCAGACCACAGTTACAACTTAGGAAACTCCTCTCTAGCAGTATCTCAAGTCGAAAAAGATTTAGGAGTCCTGGTGCCCTACGATTTAAAGTCTTACGCTAACTGTGACAAAAATGCCTTCCGAGCAAACCTCGCACTGGTAACATTGAAGCGCATTTTTGGCCAGTTTGACGGAAGAACTTTCCATATAATCTTCAATAGTTTTATCCGTCTCCATTTAGAGTACGGAAACATAGTATTTCCCACCTCACTCCAAAAGGATAAGGACACTCTGTAGTGTATCCAATGGCGAGCCACGAAATCAGTTCGAGGACTCACAATTTAACTTTATGAAGAGCGCCTTCATTCACTTAACTTTTACCCATTAGAGTGTAGACGTCTTAGAGGTGACCTTCTGATGGCTTATAGTATCCTTAACTCTTCTAGACATCCTCTCAACCACCTACTTAAGCTTAGTTCCAACACTAACCTAAGAGGTAACACCCAAAAACTGGAGACACAACATAGCAGAACGGACTGTAGACGCAACTTCTACTCCTTAAGAGTTGTCAAATGCTAGAATGCGCTGCTGGCCGAGCTAGTCCAAGTGACTTCCCAGAAGTCCTTTAAGAGGCAACTTTATCTATTCTTAAGGATTAAGGATAGTATCACACTATGATTTACTGATTTCTTTTCCCCTTTTATTGTTAACATACCTGGGTTCCTACCTGGAGGATTTGGTGATCCCCTGATACTAGACACGGAAGCCTGCTTTTGCTTCCATCTAAAACCGATCATTTGAGAGGACATTCGAAGAAAGTTCAAAAACCGAGATCAAACCGTTTACGTCTGGAGTTCCGTTTCTCGCACCGAGTAGTGAATTACTGAAATTCTCTACCGAAACACGTTATATCAGCACCGTCTGTTAATATATTCAAAACGCGGTCGGA